AACAAAGTGAAGGAATGATGCAGCCGGCGAGTCCATGTTGGTGAAATTTCATTGCAGCAACTCAGAATGGTCCTCAGTAGTCTGTGTGGCCCCCACATGCTTGTATGCATGCCTGACAACGTCGGGGGAGGGTCCTAATGAGACCACGGATGGTGTCCTGGGGGATTTCCTCCCAGATCTGGACCAGGACATCACTGAGCTCCTGGACAGTCTGAGGTGCAACCTGGCGGCGTCGGATGGCCCGAAACATGACATCCCAGAGGGGTTCTATTGGATTTAGATCAGGCGAGTGTGGGGGCCATTCAACGGTATCAATTCCTTCATCCTCCAGGAACTGCCTGCATCTCCCCACATGAGGCCGGGCATTGGCATGCACCAGGAGGAACCCAGGGTCCACCGCGCCAGGAGGAACCCGGGACCCCCTGCGCCAGGAGGAACCCGGGACCCCCTGCGCCAGGAGGAACCCGGGACCCCCTGCGCCAGGAGGAACCCGGGACCCCCTGCGCCAGGAGGAACCCGGGACCCCCTGCGCCAGGAGGAACCCGGGACCGCCTGCGCCAGGAGGAACCCGGGACCGCCTGCGCCAGGAGGAACCCGGGACCGCCTGCACCAGGAGGAACCCGGACCGCCTGCACCAGGAGGAACCCGGGACCGCCTGCACCAGGAGGAACCCGGGACCGCCTGCACAAGGAGGAACCCGGGACCCCCTGCACCAGGAGGAACCCGGGACCCATTGCACCAGGAGGAACCCGGGACCCACTGCACCAGGAGGAACCCGGGACCCACTGCACCAGGAGGAACCCGGGACCCACTGCACCAGGAGGAACCCGGGACCCACTGCACCAGGAGGAACCCGGGACCCACTGCACCAGGAGGAACCCAGGACCCACTGCACCAGGAGGAACCCAGGACCCACTGCACCAGGAGGAACCCAGGACCCACTGCACCAGGAGGAACCCAGGACCCACTGCACCAGTGTAGGGTCTGACAATGGCCAAGGATTTCATCCTGATACCTAATAGCAGTCAGGGTGCCATTGTCTAGCCTGTAGAGGTCTGTGTGTCCCTCCATGGAGATGCCTCCCCAGACCATCACTGATCCACCACCAGAACGGTCATACTGAAACCATGTTACAGGCAGCAGAACGTTCTCCACGGCTTCTCCAGACCCTTTCATGTCTGTCACATGTGCTCAGGGGGAACCTGCTCTCATCTGTGAAAAGCAGTCGACAAATGTGACTGAACGAGACTTGATAAAGCGCATGCGTGCGAAACTCGAGGTTGTGGTTAGCAGCCAAGCTTGCAACTCACTCCCCAGGTCTCTAGTTCCGCCCCCGTCCCGGTTGCAGTGACGTCACTTCTGTCAGAGTAGTTCAGTGTCACCATACTAACACTCTACTACTCTGGGGGGGTGATTAGGGAATTTTTCTTTTGTTTTTCTTTTTTCTTTTTTGTTTCAAACTGTCATGATATAGGTTCATTCAAAACAGCTGTGATTACTACACCGCATTCCGGATTATTATGCAAATTCTGTTTAAGTGTCACAAAATGAAATATTTTGATTTTCAGTGTAACTTATGGATGGCATTGTGTGTCAGGGCTCTTTTGATCACTGAAAACAATCTCGGACACCTGTGATAATTAGATTGGCCGGTGAGCCCAATTGAAGGGAAAACTACTAAAGGAGGGCGTTCCCCATTATTAACCATTAGCCGCCCGGCCAATGGCCGTTTGGCGGCTTCAGAAGTGCTGCGGCATTCCGGGTGCAGAGCCTCGCAGCGGCGCGATCTGTCACCCGCCGTGTACCTCGGACACGGCCGATGACAGATCTGAGTACCGGCCCCCGTTGCCGGTTCTCCATGTGACCTGCTTTGACCAATCATAGCAGGTCACATGACAGTTGTATACAATGGATGGCTTCATTCATGCCATCCATTGTATACTAGTGTCTAGCTGTGAATGGTCACAGCTAATCACATGCACATGTCATGTGATTAGCTGTGACCAAATCACAGCTAAGCACAAAAAAAAAAAAAAAAAACCCTGAATGAATCGATGTCATTCAGGTAAATGCTTGCTTATAGCAAAGTAATTCTTTGCTATAAGCAAATTGTGTAAAAAAAAAAAAAAATACTGATCACTTCCCCAAGTAGTACAATATGAAAAAAAACTTAAAAAAATGTAATAAAAAATTAAAAATAATAAAAAAAAAAAAAAATACATATTTTTTTTTTTTTTCATACTGTCACCAGTCAGTGTCCCTGTTCACCGCCATGCCAGTTATATGATGACGCTGTACTGCACTGGTGACAGTATGTAAAAAAAAAAAACTGAAAATAATTTTTTTATTTTCCGAAAAATGACGACAAAAAAAATACAACTTCAAAAAACTCGCCATTCCTCTTATAAAGTACGTCGGACTGTCTACTCTGCAAAAAGGGTCATTTGGGGGATATCTGTACTGTCCTGACATTTGGGGGATATCTGTCCTGTCCTGACATTTGGGGGATATCTGTACTGTCCTGACATTTGGGGGATATCTGTACCGTCCTGACATTTGGGGGATATCTGTACCGTCCTGACATTTGGGGGATATCTGTACTGTCCTGACATTTGGGGGATATCTGTACTGTCCTGACATTTGGGGGATATCTGTACTGTCCTGACATTTGGGGGATATCTGTACTGTCCTGACATTTGGGGGATATCTGTACTGTCCCATTTGGGGGATATCTGTACTGTTCTGACATTCTTGAACCTCAAGAAATTAGATTGGCTGTCAGTACTTCAGGATTGATCAATATTCAGATCTATACCATAGTTTGTAAACTCTATAACTTTCCTACAAACTAAATAATACATCCTAATTTGGGTTATTTTTCACCAAAGACATGTAGCAGAATACATCTCGGCCTAAATTTATGAAGAACAATTATTTATTTGTAAACTTTTATAACAGAAACAAAGAAAAACTTTTTTTTTTTTGTTTCAAAATTTTTGGTCTTTTTTTATTAATTTAGCAAAAAATAAAAACCCCGGCGGTGATTAAATACCACCAAAAAGAAAGCTCTAGTTGTGTGAGAAAATTATAAAAATTTTAGTTTGGGTACAATGTTGTATGACCGCGCAATTGTCATTCAAAGTGTGAGAGCGCTGAAACGTGAAAAATGGCCTGGGGGGAAGGGGGTACAATTGCTCCGGTATTGAAATGGTTAAGCAGAAAACCGTTTTCAAGCAATTTGAGGAAGAAAAAGGATCTCTCTGCTGCCGAAAAGAGTGGAAATAGTTCGATGCCTTGGACAAGGGATGAAAACATTCGATATTTCAGGAAAACGTAAGCGTGATCATCGCACTATGAAGAGATTTGTGGCGGATTCAGAGCACAGACGGGTTGGTGCAGATAAAGGCACATTGAGGAAGATTTCTGCCAGATCCAGGCATCGGATCAAGAGAGCAGCTGCTAAAATCCCATTACATAGCAGCAAACAGATATTTGAAGCTGCTGGTGCCTCTGGAGTCCCGCGGACATCAAGGTGTAGAGTCCTCCAGAGTCCTGCAACTGTGCAGAAACCTTCTATTCGGCCACCACTAACCAATGCTCACAAGCAGAAACGGCTGCATTGGGCAGAAAAATACATGAAGACTCATTTTCAAACAGTCCTGTTCACTGATGAGTGCCGTGCAACCCTGGATGGAGTAGTGGATGGAGTAGTGGATGGTTGGTGGACGGCCACCCTGTTCCAACAAGGCTGCGACGTCAGCAAGGCGGTGGTGGAGTCATGTTTTGGGCCGGAATCATGGGAACAAAGCTGGTCAGCCCCTTTAGGGGCCCCGAAGGTGTAAAGATGACCTCTGCAAAGTATGTGGAGTTTATGACTGACCACTTTCTTCCCTGGTACAGAAGGAAGAACTATGCTTTCCGTAATAAAATCATCTTCATGCATGACAATGCACCATCTCATGCTGCAAAGAATACTTCTGCATCAATGGCTGCTATGGGGATAAAAGGAGAGAAAGTCACGGTGTGGCCTCCATCCTTCCCTCACCTCAATCCTATTGAGAACCTTTGGAGCATCCTCAAGCAAAAGATCTATGAGGGTGGGAGGCAGTTTACATCCAAACAGCAGCTCTGGGAGGCTATTCTGACATCTTGCAAACAAAATTCCAGCAGAAACTGTCCAAAAACTGCCAAGTTCAATGGATGCGAGACTTGTGATCTGCTATCAGATAAGGGCTCCTATGTTACAATGTAACGTGACCGCTTCAAATGTTTACAAAGTTACAATGTTGGGAAAAGTTTGATTGAAAAGCTTTTGATTTCAGTAAATTTGCTGCAAACACAACAAATGACAATTTTCAGTTCTTTACAACCTAGAAAGTGTTTGGAAACTTCCTGTGCGGAATAATCCGGAACACACAAATCCTGTTATCATTAGGAGGTTTGTTCAATAAAATGTGAATTGTCCTCTTCTAGTTGTCACCTGAGAATTCTGCCGACTGATATTTACATCAATTATTGAGGGAAATGAGAAAAATATCATTTGCATAATAATTTGGAACACGGTGTATGGTGTGCTGTGATTGGTCCGCAGCATCACATTAGGAATCACAGCTCTTATGAACGAACCCATTCATAACAGGTGTGTTTACATGGCATGATCGCATGACCGTGTGATATCCTGGGCCGCTCATACCGGACAGTTCCCAGGATCCGCGGTGTCCGGAGCCCAGGGAGGCTTGGCCTGTAGCTGCCGCCAGCTCACAGAATGATTACTGTTGGGGGGGCAGCAAGTGGTTAAAAATAACTGTGCAAGAGTCAAATGCGTGCTTTTGCCGAGGACTGGGGTCTCCAAACTTCCCTGACAAAGGGCCAGTTTAATGTCCTTCAGAACTTACAGGGGCCAAACTGCAGCTAGTGGGAGTAGAAATGCCCCAGTGTCAGTGGGTGTATGCACTTTATTAGATGACATACTGGGTCTCTGTACTTCTCTATTCCATGCAGACAGACCATGGTTGGGAGGGGCTATACATTCCTTCCCAAAAAACAGTAGCCTGTCACTGGGTAATACTCACATGTGATGCTGAGCCTCCAATGAATGAAAGCGGAGGGCCGGAGGTCTGGCTGGGGAGGACAGGGCTATAGAATGCTGGACGTCCTCCAGCCAGGAAATGAGGCGGAGCTCTGTCTGATTGGCTGCAGCTTCTAATGCTCATGGTGAGAAGACCACAGTGTGCAGTGAATTCAGAGGAAGCCATTTCAGTCCAGGGGAGGAGCTGATACACCTGTACAAGACAGGAGGGGAGGAGCCGATACACCTGTACAAGACAGGAGGGGAGGAGCCGGTACACCTGTACAAGACAGGAGGGGAGGAGCCGGTACACCTGTACAAGACAGGAGGGGAGGAGCCGGTACACCTGTACAAGACAGGAGGGGAGGAGCCGGTACACCTGTACAAGACAGGAGGGGAGGAGCCGGTACACCTGTACAAGACAGGAGGGGAGGAGCCGGTACACCTGTGCAAGACAGGAGGGGAGGAGCCGGTACACCTGTGCAAGACAGGAGGGGAGGAGCCGGTACACCTGTGCAAGACAGGAGGGGAGGAGCCGGTACACCTGTGCAAGACAGGCGGGGACGGGCCGGTACACCTGTACAAGACTGAAGGGGAGGGGCCGGTACACCTGTACAAGACTGAAGGGGAGGGGCCGGTACACCTGTACAAGACTGAAGGGGAGGGGCCGGTACACCTGTACAAGACTGAAGGGGAGGGGCCGGTACACCTGTACAAGACTGAAGGGGAGGGGCCGGTACACCTGTACAAGACTGAAGGGGAGGGGCCGGTACACCTGTACAAGACTGAAGGGGAGGGGCCGGTACACCTGTACAAGACTGAAGGGGAGGGGCCGGTACACCTGTACAAGACTGAAGGGGAGGGGTCGGTACACCTGTACAAGACTGAAGGGGAGGGGTCGGTACACCTGTACAAGACAGAAGGGGAGGAGCCGTAACACCTGCGCAAGACAGAAGGGGAGGGGCCGGTACACCTGTGCAAGACTGAAGGGGAGGGGCCGGTACACCTGTGCAAGACTGAAGGGGAGGGGCCGGTACACCTGTGCCACACTGAAAAGGAGGGGCCAATACACCTGTTCCAGACTGAAGGGGAGGAGCCAATACACCTGTGCAAGACTGAAGGGGAGGAGCCAGTACGCCTGTGCCAGACTGAAGGGGAGGAGCCAGTACACCTGTGCCAGACTGAAGGGGAGGAGCCGGTACGCCTGTGCCAGACTGAAGGGGAGGGGCCGGTACACCTGTGCCAGACTGAAGGGGAGGGGCCGGTACACCTGTAGCCAGACTGAAGGGGAGGGGCCGGTACACCTGTAGAAGACTGAAGGGGAGGGGCCGGTACACCTGTAGAAGACTGAAGGGGAGGGGCCGGTACACCTGTAGAAGACTGAAGGGGAGGGGCCAGTATACACTGTACAAGACTGGAAGGGGAGGAGCCAGTATACCTGTACAAGACTGAAGGGGAGGAGCCGCTACACCTGTACAAGACTGAAGGGGAGGGGCCGCTACACCTATACAAGACTGAAGGGGAGGGGCCGCTACACCTATACAAGACTGAAGGGGAGGGCCGCTACACCTGTACAAGACTGAAGGGGAGGAGCCGGTACACCTGTACAAGACTGAAGGGGAGGATCCGGTACACCTGTACAAGACTGAAGGGGAGGGGCCGGTAAACCTGTACAAGACTGAAAGGGAGGGGCCGGTAAACCTGTACAAGACTGAAAGGGAGGGGCCGGTACACCTGTACAAGACTGAAAAGGGGAGGGGCCGGTACACCTGTACAAGACTGAAAAGGAGGGGCCGGTACACCTGTACAAGACTGAAAAGGAGGGGCCGGTACACCTGTACAAGACTGAAAAGGAGGGGCCGGTACACCTGTACAAGACTGAAAAGGAGGGGCCGGTACACCTGTACAAGACTGAAGGGGAGGGGCCGGTACACCTGTACAAGACTGAAGGGGAGGAGCTGGTGCACCTGTTCCACACTGAAGGGGAGGAGCCAGTACACCTGTGCCAGACTGAATGGAATGCTGGAGGGAGGATTTAAAGCGAAACTTCACCCCTAAAGGGAAGTTCCGCATTCCTGTCTCCCCCCTTTAATGTTTGGTGGGGGGGAGGGGGGGAGGGAGTGGGTAACACGGTTTGGACAGGCACCCGCTCCCACTTCCACACAGATCGCCTAGGTGACCTGAACGGAAGCTTGCCTCGCCGCATGGACTCACCTGGATGTTACCTGTAATAAGTTGCATCAGAGCTACATGTAGCACAATGAGAGGCTCTCCAGGCATTGCACTGTGGGTAAAGGTGAAGCACCTTCTGTACGCTCCCACTCTGCGCTTCATATCCGTCCAGTTCCTGACCGGATGCACCGCCTCATACCTGCAAGGACAGTCACATGACAGGGAATTAGAGGCAACTTCCTGTTCTGTCTGAAAACTAGGAAGTGAAGAGAAATCTCCAAATTGGGGATACAGACAGCAATGAGAGGCTTACAGAGGCCCCAACCTTCCCCATTGTATCCGAAATCCATTGCTGAAGGGTTGGGATTCGATGGATTTCCCCTCACTTCCTGTCCTGCTGACAACGCCATTGACAAGACAGGAAATGAGGGCAAATCTTCAATAAGCATCACAGACAGGAATACAAGGCCTTTTCTATTAGAGTTTTGGGCTAAATCAGATCTTTATTTCTGTGTCCTAGTTGGAGATTTTCCCTCACTTCCTGTCTGGTAAGAATTGTTTGTCAGCAGGACAGGAAGTGAGGTGAAATCTCATCAACAGAGTCCCAGATATACATTTTTTCCATTCTTTCTTCAAAAAAAACAAAAAACAAACATACACTTGAAAGCTAAATTACACCCTTACCTTCAGCCTTGCACACATTTCTGCCTTATTTTCTGGCTGGAGGACATCCAGCATCATCTAGCCTTTTCCTCCCCATCCTGACTGTTCCTGGACCCCGCCCCCATCATTCATTGGATTTCAGTTCTTTCAATCACGAAGGCTCAGCAACACATGTGGGTTAAAGGATCTTTATGCCGAGCGGGGCAGGAAAGATCAGCCGATTACATGACCACTGTGATTGGCTGTTGCAGTGGTCACATGATCAGGAGCTGGTCATTAGACACCAGCGAGCATACTGTCAGCACAGAAAGCTCTGCCGCCCTTGGAAGTAATGTGCGGCGTTTGCGCGTCAAAGCCCGCCCTCTTATGCGGGTGACGTGTTGAAAATGTTGAGGAGGGGAGGAACCAGGCTAAAGAAACCAATCAGATTTACTTCAGCATTAACCCCTCCCCCTCCACAGGATTTCCCTCCCCCCTTCCTGACCAGGCCATTTTTTGCACTGCGTTACTTTAACTGACAATTGCGCAGTCATGCAACGCTGCACCCAAATGACATTTACATCCCTTTTTTCCCACAAATAGAGCTTTCTTTCGGTGGTATTCGATCGCCTGTGCGGTTATTTTTTGCGCTATAAACAAAAAAAGATCACAATTTTGAAAAAAAAAAAAAATTATATATATATACATATATACACATACATACATCTCTCTATCTATCTTATATATAAATTATTTTTTTTTTTACTTTTTGCTATAAAAACATGTCCAATAAAAAAATGGAAAAATCAAATTTTCTCATAAATTTAGGCCAAAATGTATTCTGCTCCGTGTCTTTGCTAAAAAAAAAAAAAAAAAAAAAAAAACAAATCCCCAATCCGTGTAAATTAATTGGTGTACGTGAATGTTATAGCGTCTACAAATGGCGGTATAGATACTGGGAGTTTTATTTTTTTTTATACTAGTAATGGCGGCGATCAGCGACTTATAGCGGGACTGTGGCGGGCATTCTGACAATGGGGGGGGGGGGGGGGACTGACCTGGTGTCACTGACATCCCCAGTGACACAATACAGTGATCAGTGCTAATAAGAAGCACTGACACTGTACTAATGGCACTGGGCAGGAAGGGGTTAACATCTGGGGCGATCAAAGGGTTACCTGTGTGCGGTGTTACTAGGGAGACATGCTGTGCAAAGATACACAGCAGCATGTCCTTGCTGGCAGGAGAGAGCTGTGTTATTTACACACTTCTCTCCCCAGTCAGTTCTACATGGCGATTGCTGGCGGGGAATCTCCGGCCCGGACCCGGTGATTGATATCCCTAGCTGCCAACAGCAGGCGCAGTCAGGGCGGCACGTGCACCTCCCACCCGGAAATGTGAATCATATATATATATATATATATATATATATAAATAAAATGTGATTTTGCACAGCTCTGCCGCCCTGTAGCAGTACTTCTACTATAGGGTGGCGGGCAATTGGTTAAATGAAAAAAAAACTTTTTTTTTTTTTTTTTAAAAGAGTGTGGGGGGGATAAGAACTTCTGTTTCTATTGTATAACCACGCCCCCCACAACCCCAACCCCCCCCCCCCCTTCCCCGCCGGGGAGATTTGCTCCCATGCCGTGTCCCGTTAGAAATGCAGCCCCCCCCCCCCTGCCGTGGTCCCCCTGTACGTAGTAACGTGGCCCCCCCGCCTTGGTCCCCCGCCTTGGTCCCCCTGTATGTAGGAATGTAGCCCCCCTGCATATAGGAACATAGCCTCCCCACCTTGGTCCCCCTGTATGTGGGAACGAAGCCTCCCCGACTTGATCCCCCTGTATGTAGGAATGTAGCCCCCCTGCCTTGCTTCCCCTGTATGTAGGATCGTAGCCCCCCTGCCTTGGTCCCTCTGTATGTAGGATCGTAGCCCCCCTGTCTTGGTCCCTCTGTATGTAGGATCGTAGCCCCCTTAGCTTGGTCCCCCTGTATGTAGGAACGTAGCCACTCTGCCTTGGTCCCCCTGTATGTAGGAACATAACCCCCCCGCCTTGGTCCCACTGTATGTAGGAATGTAGCCCCCCTGCCCTGGTCCCCCTGTATGTAGGAACGTAGCCTCCCCACCTTGGTCCCCCCTGTATGTGGGAACGAAGCCTCCCTGACTTGATCCCCCTGTATGTAGGATCGTAGCCCCCCTGCCTTGGTCCCTCTGTATGTAGGATCGTAGCCCCCCTGCCTTGGTCCCTCTGTATGTAGGATCGTAGCCCCCCTAGCTTGGTCCCCCCTGTATGTAGGATCGTAGCCCCCCTGCCTTGGTCCCCCCTGTATGTAGGATCATAGCCCCCCTGTCTTGGTCCCTCTGTATGTAGGATCGTAGCCCCCTTAGCTTGGTCCCCCTGTATGTAGGAACGTAGCCACCCTACCTTGGTCCCCCTGTATGTAGGAACATAACCCCCCCGCCTTGGTCCCCCTGCATGTATAACCACGCCCCCCACAACCCCCCCCCCTTCCCCGCCAGGGAGATTTGCTCCCATACCCTGTCCCGTTGGCCAAACAGGAAGAAGGAAAATCTCTCCAATCTCTCCTGGAAATCTCTCCAATGTGATATACATGACGGACTCTGATCTTTCTTCACTATCTGCTACTAAAAAAAAAAAAAAAAACACAAACAAAAGAAAAAGAAACATTATTAATGATGGGAAAGCAATTATCTGCAGGAATTGCACTTACTCGCTGATCTTCTGCAGAACCTCACAAGGGGACTGCCATGTAATTCTCTCCAGATGGAGGAATCCTACGGAGAACCACTCTGACAGCATGCTCCTCAGCACTCCGTTCATCTCCTGCAGACACAGAAAAGCTGAAATGTAAAATCTAAAAATGTCATCCCAAACAGCAAGCAAAAAAAAAAAAAAAAAACAGCACAAAGCCAACTTTTCACCCACAAAACTACAGAATGCGTTTTACACACATTAAAGGCGACACCAAACAAAATGGTTCAATTCCATTCACTACCCATAAAAGTCCCTTCTACTGCAGTCTCAGTCTCCTCCAAGTTCCTTTGTTCTTGCTGATGTGATCTGACGTCCGATTAGAGGGTGGCTACGTTTGTCCTCCATGATCCCCCTGTATGTAGGAACAGAGGCACCTGTCTTGGGGGAGGGGGGGGGGGGGGGGGGGGGGGGGGGGGGGGGGGGGGGGGGGGGGGGGGGGGGGGTCTTAAAGTCCCCTGTATGTCAGAAAGTAGCCCCCCTGCCTTGATCCAACTGTAGGAATGTTGCCACCCTGCCCTTGTCCCCCTGTATGTAGGAACGGAGCCACCTGCCTTGGTCCCCTGTATGTCAGAAAGTAGCCCCCCTGCCTTGGTCCCACTGTATGTAGGAACGTAGCCACCCTGCCTTGGTCCCACTGTATGTAGGAACGTAGCCTCCCCGCCTTGCTCCCCCTGTATGTAGGAACGTAGCCCCCCCCCCCCCCCCCCCCCGCCTTGGTCCCACTGTATGTAGGAACCAGGGCTGTGGAGTCGGTAGATAAATGTTCCGACTCCTCAGTTTTTGTACTTCGGAGCATTGTTTGCCGACTCCGACTCCAGGTACCCTAAATTTCCTCCGACTCCACGACTCCGACTCCACAGCCCTGGTAGGAACGGAGCCCCCCCGCCTTGGTCCCCCTGTATGTAGGAACAGAGCCCCCTCGCCTTGGTCCCCCTGTATGTAGGAACAGAGCCCCCCTCGCCTTGGTCCCCCTGTATGTAGGAACAGAGCCCCCCTGCCTGGTCCCCCTGTACGTAGGAACGTAGCCCCCCCGCCCTTGGTCCCTCTGTATGTAGGAACATAGCCCCCCCGCCTTGGTCCCCCTGCATGTA